AGCCAAAACTGGTAGACAGTAATTTAAGTGAATGTTCAAGTTCCTAATATTGGTCATGTGAAAACAAGAACAAAGATTGACTCAACAACTAATTACGGCAGACTTTGCGTAGGCGGATACAATTAGCAGATAAACGATCCAACCTTCAAGAAACAGCCACTAAGAGATGAAAGATTAACTTTCAGTGAGAAACAACCAATCAGAAGACTGTGTTTGTCTGTTAACAATAATCTTTAATAATGTACATGAAAATCTATAAATGTGTTGATTTCCATAAAAAACGATCTGTTGCCTGACCCTTGTCTTCTGTCGTTACACCAGGAACGTTTTGTTTTGACATTTGTATATGGTGGAGGAGCTAGAGATTCGTCAATATAACCCTGGAATATGTAAGCGGCAGAAAAGGTTTGTTCAGTCTGTAATTCTACAATGGTCTCAAACTCTTTCCTGCTTGTTAATCTTCTATTTATTATTTTAGTAATCAATTCACTATTATCACTTTTACATGTTCTTTTTGTACATTTTACGGCGAAGTTCAGCAATAACGTCCCAGGAGTGTGAACGCTCCAATGACCTTGAACGCATGCTAGTCGTTGGCCAACGGCATCTGTCACTATCACAGCTGAAATATCAACGCTATTCACCAACTTAGGAGCAAATTTCACCCAGATCACGTTTTTAAGTACTATTTGGACAATGTGTTAATAGCTCGTTAGGGTTAGGATTAGGGTTAAGGTAAGTATTGAGGTTAGGGTTATGATCAGGGTTATAATTAGCATTAGGGTTAGAATTACGGTTTGAATAAGGGATATGATTAGGGTTAGGATTAATGTTAGGTTTAGTGTCAGGGTCAGGATTAAGCTTATGGTTACGATTAGGGATAGATTTATAGTTGATGTCATTTATTTTAATTTTTTTTATTATCCACGTTTTCCTGGTAAGTAGTCATCTATCCTCTTGCTGGAAACCATAATAATTCAACCGCGGGCTTTTTGGAAGACTGCAAGCAGGATGAGAGAGATAAACGATTCACAAAAACAGTTTATCTGTAGTCATCTTGGTGAATACATGTACAGAAACTAGTCTAACTTAACAACTGATACTCCTTATTATAACTAGGACGTATTTTTAAGCCATGTCAGAGAAAGATAACCTGTTTAGTGCGTTTTCAAGCATTTTCTTGCCAGTATACATCATTTTTTGGGCAAACATTCCTCATTTTTATGATTGGTCAGCTGAAGGTCATTCGTGCATTCGCACTCTTGGGATGCTATTGTTGAACTCTGCCTAAGAATTTTGCACTTTATCAAATTTTAAGCCTTTACTTCCATTGTGTAGTTGACTATTATGTAACTTCCTTTTAACTTTATAAGCTACTTCTGAGTAATTGGTATTAATTATGCCATATCACACTCTATAACTCAATAATCGATTGCTATAGTTTGTTGGTGAATATAAATACAATCGGTAGATTAGTCACTAACCAACATCACCAGTCGATGAGAAGAGTTAAATCCAGTGAACACTGCACAATTGTTTCGTCCCAATCTGGGACTCTTCATCAGTGCGCACCTACGACCCTGACAAGGAGTAAACCGAGGACCTTTAGGTTACGAGACCAAGGTCATCAACCATTCAGCCACTCAGGCTGTAATTCAATCACTGATGAGTCGTAACTTTGTCAATTTATGATATAACGCTACCCTCACCAGTACCTTCGATGGACATCAACTTCGCCTTGATATAGTACATATCACGAATTGAAAAAGTCAGAGGATTTCATCATGAGCTGACATCAGTTAGAGAACCACTGGAAAACCTGGAAGTACTGGACAGCTGTATCATCAGACTAGTTTGGGACTCTTCGGCGGTACGCACTCACCGACAGGGTCCGAACCCAGGACCTTCTGGCTACAAGGCCAGCTCGTAGACTATTGAGCCACTGGGACCCAATCCAATGGTTCATGAGTTATAACTTCTGCCAAATCACGACATAGCGCGACCACTAGCCAATGTCTTCGGTATTTGTCCTCACACCCGACCTGCTGCACCCTACTGGTCACGACTTCTCACTAGAACCCAGGTAACTACCCACCTGAATAGGGCAAGTCGCTAGTGAGCATCTCATTGATTTTCAAGTGTTGGTTTGTAAGAATTTGATTGGTTACAGGATTTCATCATGAGCTGAAGCCGGTGGGTGCGTACTGCTGAAGAGTCACAAACTAGGACGAAATAGCTGACCAGTGCTCCCAGGTCTTCCAATGGTTCTCTAACTAATGTCGGCTCATGATGGAATCCTGTAACCAATCAACGAAATCCCTACAAACTAACACTTAAATGACAAAGTTAGAATTCACAGGTCATTGAATTCCAGCCCAAGTGACTGAATGGTTGACGAGCTTTACCTCGTCACCCGAATGTCCCGGGTTCGATTCCTGGTGGGATCACGGGTGAGCACTGATGAAGAGTCCAGGAGTGGGACGAAACAGTTGTCCAGCGCTCCTAGGTTTTCAATGACCTCTCTAAATGATGTTAGTTCGTGACGAAATCTGTAAAGTGAAGTTAATCTAAATCCCCATAATTTAAATACAAATACGAGTACATGACCTTTGAAGATGACTTCATCGATAAAGAAAATTTTCGTCGTTGAATTGTCTTCTGTAATCTTTGCAATAAGAGATACATATATAGAAAAATACTTCGAATACTTTTTATTTTCAGAAAAGTACAACTTACTCATACATTGTCCTTCAGTGAACTTAATTGAACAACACATATCCGAGTCTTCACGATGAGCGCGTAAACTCATTAAAAAATGATACACAATATTACTACGTTCACTAGTTGACAGAAAGACTTTTTCATCCATTACATTGTCGAATAGACCAAATTCTTCAACTGAAAATTCACGTAAACCACCACCATGTTCAATTAATAAAGGTTTTTTAATTCTTAATTCTTCAGCACCTGTGAGTAGTCTTAACAGAAAAGAGATTTAGTTGTATAAAAATAGGGCGAACACTTATTATCAGTTAGCTGACATGAATAATATAGACTTAAAACAGTATTGTACATGGGGACATCGAGAAGTATCTTTCACTAGCTACCATATACCTACCTCACTAATCAGTACAACTGGATATGAACTTGATTCTGTGGGTTCCAAAGTTTTCTTACAGCAATCTTCTTTATTAAGACTAATGATAAAATTACATTTATCGGCTTTAGTTTTGACTATAGATGTGGCCAAAATAAAGCATGCCAAGCTACCGCGTTCCTCGACAAGCAATGCTAACTGACATGGGATTAAGTTGAGAAAGGGTTAGGCGTGGTCAAGTCAGTGATCCATGAAGCCTCTGACTGTCGCTTTGACTTAAGCATAGAGGTGCACACTCTCTGAGTACGGTCCCCAGGATGATAGGAATCAATAGCTTTGAAGTGTTGGTGATATGGCTGAAAAATCGTTCTCGGTTGTGTAGATGTATTCACCTGTATCCATTAAATCCTCATATTTTTCCAAGTTACTGTCATCATAGTTCTTTCAAATCTCTTTGTCTGTTACATGGAGTGTGGCAAGCTGAACTGCTGCATTCTTGTGCAAATTGCTACGTTGATACTAAGTCAAGATACCAAGTCATAGATTTATTCGATTTTAAAGCTTGTAATTCCTGATCTTTTTCAAACAAATTACCAGTTGATAACTTTTGATTCGATATGATGCATTGAACCTGATGACGCAATTCACTAGCTCTATCGTCAGGTATAAAGAAGGGTTAATACGTGTTCTATGATCGGAGTTAATTCTATTGCTTTCATTGATTTCCTTGTTATAGTGAAATTAAAATTTCACTAGTAATATTATACTGAGTTTTCTGTTTGATAAGTTGCAAACTGCTTTTCTTATTTGTCTCCAACTCCAGAGTACTGCTAAGTTTGGATTCAAATTTCCGAATTCATCTCCGTTTAGTAGCACTGAAATGGACCAATCTTCGATGGTCCATTTGTGTAATCTCACAATAGCTAGAAATTGATCCTTGGAAAATGAGAATATTAGGACAATTAACAATGTTTTGTTAAAACCACATTAATATTACTCTATTGTTTTAATGTACATTTGTGTATTCTCTCACGTAGGAAAAAGATGGTCGAACCAATTTGACTGATTAACTAAGAGAAGGAAGTGAAATTTCATTACAATTTACTCTGGAAACTCATAATAATGAATGTGTGATAAAATAGGTGATCTGCTTGACACCATGAGTGGCAGTCAGGAAAGCAAACATAAATGAATGAAGTTATAATAATAATAGTAATTGTAAACATTTATTTCCCGATACCAATTTAAAACAAGCAACAAAGGTTAACAAAGCAGGATTTAATGAATTCATCAAATTTCGGTAGAACTCGTCAGCTGAATACACTGCGTACACGGATACATATACTCACCACAGTAGATTCAGAGTCACGACCATCTACCATGGTAATACGTTTTACTTATTATTATTCTACCTCTTATTTCTATTATTATTATTCTCATTATTATTATTCTTGATTCATTCAAATTATCCTTTATCAGTAGGATTATCTTAACTCACTTCAACAGTATTATTATTATTGTTATTATAACTATTACTATTAATATTACTCTGTTTGCAATTCTTGTTATATTCTCTAATGACTAATTGTTTATCTAAGTGATGTAATTGAAGCATAATACAATTTATCTTAATTTTGATCTCCTATACTCTCTCTCCCCTTATCTTATCTAATTGAAAATGACCTGGAAAAACATTCGCACCTGTCTTTCTGCATGACTAATTAAATGTAGTTTGTTTACTTATCAGTTCTATATCTCCTAATGTAATTTCAAAAGTATATATATCCATGTATGTAGAGTATTCAGCTGACGAGTTCTACCGAAATTTGGTGAATTCATTAAATCCTGCTTTGTTAACCTTTATCGGAACAACCTACTACTACCGATACGTCGATGATACATTTGTTGTTTGCAACGACACGGATCACGCATCGGCATTATATGATCGCTTAAATGAGGCCTATCCTAACATCAAATTCACCATGGAATATGAACATAATAATGAGTTCAATTTTCTGGATCTAAACGTAAAAAGAACAAACGAAGGCGAGATCAAAAAGTCCATCTATAGAAAAGAAACCTGGACTGGGCAATATCTTCAGTGTAACAGCTTTCATCCCATACACTATAAACGTGAATAAGTGATAACTTTGTGTGACAGAGCCAGGTAGCTATGTTCCTCAAACAAGGTCGAAGAAGAATGAGATTTCGTCGAGAAATGCCTAAGAGAAAATGGATACCCTAAGGGATTTATACATAAGTATAGCAGAGAAAAAGACAAGAAAGAAAAACACCCAACTGTAGAAAAGAAGAAAGTGTTTATTTGTCTCCCATTCAAAGGAGATGCAGTGTCACAAAAGATTGACAAAAGACTGAAAGGTGCAATAAATAGAAGCTTCCCGTCAGCTAAACTCGTAACATTTTACAGCACCACTTCTTCTATAAGCCACTCAAAACTGGATAAATACCCTGGTGATGTCATCTCCAACTGTGTTTATGAATTTACGTGTACTTGCTGCCGCAAGTACATTGGAAGGATGGCAAGAAGGGCTTCCATTCGGTTTTCTGAAGATATTCCAAGAAACCTGTGCCTGAAAGGAAGCAAATATTCTCAGAGTGCAATTGCCAGACATATTGTTGATACTGGACATCTCGTAGAGATTTCTAAGTCCTTCGAAATATTAAATGGACAAAGGACAGCAAATTTGCTACGATTTGCCGAAGCGATCGCAATCAAACGATTTAAACCAGACTTATGCATACAGAAATGGAGTGTGAGTAACCTCTCACTCCCTTGGTAACTGAATTTTGATTTTGATTACATTAATTAGTCATCTAAATCAGTGATCTCAACTCACTGAGCAAGTCTTAATCTCATAAACTGTTAACGCTTTTGTTTTTTGAGTTCCTTTGTGAACCTACAAGCTAACACTGTTCTGGTAATTAATTTTTTCCGTTTTCTGTCTCACCCTTCCCCCTTCTTTTCTACTTTGAAAGCGTACAAATTGATGACGAAAACTTAAACTAAAAATTGTAATGCTTTCATTTTGGATTCGTCAATTTTATATAATTTCTTCTCTATTACCACTTAAACATTCAAGTATGTTATTATCATTGATATAACCATTGTAATTTCAGGTAGTCTGCAGCTGATGAGAACCTGTGAAATAGAATGATACCATTTTATACTGGAAATTTCGTCTTCCTTTCTTTATCGAAAAGTGTTATGTGTTGAACTGACAAAAACAGTCAAGGAGATCAGGACTTCATGTATGATTTTCATGTAAATTTGTAAATTTATATGAAATACATTATTATTATTATTTATGTTTCATGCAGGAATAATAGTAATAAAAATTGATCACTTTGAAATAATACAGTAAAACAGAAACTAACGAAAATGTAATAATAATGAAAAACCTACCCTCTATAAGATGCTGTTAAATAAAGCGCATACTGTCCAGATGTTCTATGGAATTGTTTTTGTACAACCAGCTGAGGTACACGATTTCTTATTGTTTCAATAAGCCAATCGACAATATCTTCAGAAACTCCTCTTTTAAATATTAATACAACATCACAATCTGTAGATGGTACAGCAGAAAGACGTCGCCATTTCTGTGTACGCGTCATAACATTTTTACTTGTCTGAGCTACTTGTCGTTGTAAGTCGGTTAGTTTTTCTACAAAACAAAAAACAGAGAAGAATGCCATCCAATGTAAAAAAAACACTAACTGGACAACGACACCTCTAAGGCAACTTCTAAAGTATCCGTGTTTTAAAAGTTCAAATCGACGCTGAACGTTCAAAATCTACGTTCACCTTTAGCGTAGGCTATGGCTATTATAAAGGGCTGATTACTGTTTACATGTTTACTTGCCTTCGCTAAAGCCGTACTTGTATTGTGTATGTTGGTTCGAAGGGTTTAATTGATTTCGAGGTTGATCACAAAGTGACTTCATTTAGAGAATCACCTAAAACCAGGGACTACTGGACAGTTGTCTCGACTCCGTTCGGGACTCCTCCCAATACGTACTCATGACCCTATCAGGTACATAACCCAGGAACTTCCAGTTACAAGGCGAGCTTGTGGACCATTCAGCAACTGAGACGGAATCCACTGACCCATCAATTTTAATTTCTGCCAATTCTCAACATAGTACAACCGCCAGGCAATGTCATCAGTGAGTTTTAATCCTAATATACAACTTGTTGGACTCCGCTGGTCACAACTTCCCACTAGAACTTCCGGGAACCTCATCCTCCAGTGAGTTGCTAGTAAGCACTAGACTAATTTTTAAGTATCGGTTTGCAGGGATTGATCCATTTCAAAACTGATTTCAGTTAGAGAACCACTGAAAACCAGGGATTAATCGACCATTGGATTCCCTCCCAGTGACTGTATAGTCAGCAAGCGGCCTTGTAACCTGAAAGCCCTGAGTTCCATCCCAATCAATGTCATGGATGTGTGATGATGAAGAGTCCCAGAAAGGGATGAAACGACTGTCCAGTAGTCCCTGGTTTTCAATGGTTCTCTAACTCAATTCAGCTTGTAATCAAACTTCAATTTCCACTATTTTTATTAATTTAGCCTTATGCTTGATAGGGAGTGACTCTAGAATGTTTCAGGCCTACACTAGTATATTGTCCTGAGCAAAGTATAGCTTAGTGGATCAGTTTGTCGGTCGGTCGGTTTTCGACATAGAACTTTGCACATATGTGCGGCAGTTCAAGTCGCCACACTCCCTCTTTGTAGCACACAAAGCAAGAGAAGAAAGTAGGAGAAATGCATAATATAGACAGAAAGTTTAGGTGTGAGACAAAGGAATAGTAATAACGAAGAACAAAACAGTTTCATTGGAAATCATAAGTCACAAGGAGTGGATGCATCTGCGCCACTGAGAACGATTTTGAGCCATATCACCAATTGTTTCCAGCCATTGGTTTTTACCGTCCCGAGGACCCCAACCAGCCAAGAAGTCTACACCTTCCTACGTGGCTTAGACTAACTGTTGTGGATTTCATTGACTGGTGAAGCCATGTTTTGGTTTGACCGCCGCTAGCTCTTTTCCAGCCTGACCCTATGTCAGCTAACATTGCCCGTTGTCGAGGAAGGCAATGACTAGGCATACGTAACACATGTTTGTCAGGAAAATGTTCCTCTTTATCACAGGTGTATATTTTGCATTTTGGAGGATTTAGGCGTATGCCTATCAAATATAAGCCAAAGAACTAATAATTTTAGTTTAGACTGTGAAAACACTATACTTATTTGAAAGGTTGGATCACTGTTGATAAAGATTTAACTAGGATAAGACTGAACTATTTGTCAATAAGCACTACGTTACCTAGAAAACCAGGATGAGAAATCTTCAGGCTGGATTCACTTTTGGGCAAGGGAAGGGAGGGAACTTAGTGGATGGAGTGAATTTACCCAGACTAAGGGCAAGTGAAGTACATTGAGTATGGAGACATATGATGTAACTCCACATACTATTTTGCCTGATGAACGATTAGGTTTAATAAAAGACTTACTGTCAGTTTGAGCTATGTATGTAAGTGTTAACTCACTTAATAGAGTAATACAAGAGTTATGTACCAACAAGTCGGAAGTCTCGTATATTTTGTTCAAAATTTATCTAAAGCACATTGATTCCCCATTCTAGTGTTTGCAAATTTGAAACTTGTCGCTAACTTTTACTCAAATCATTTCCTCTCATTCTCTTTTCATGCAAATGGAATTAGTAAACTAGTATGAGAAGTTTTACATTGGTCTGTCGGAAAGTTTTTTGATGGAGCTAAAATATTAGTGTCCAAATAGTTAACTTATTCTAGATGGTTCTTTTTATTTTCTATAATTATATGTTAATCATTCTTAACTTAATAGTTTACATCTCTTTACTTCATCTACAGCTGACACTTACGGTGTAAACTAACCATACAAGCATATTAATAAAATCTCGTTTGATCTATAAACACACCAAGAGGTAAACGTTGAAACATAAAAAGAAAGAGGAAATAAAAACAAGTAGAATAGAAATTTGTATTACAGAGCTCAATCAAAATTACGTAATACTGTTTCACTGTGTTATAATATCTAGCAAATGAACCAGCTAAAAGGTTTTACTCTTACAGTGACAGAATACAAGTGATATGAAAGAAAAGTAAACAGCTAAATAGAGGCTAGTGAGAATATATTTAAAATTTCCCAAAACTAAAGTAATTCGTTACATCGTCATTATAGTGGTCAATTTTTCGGATGTCCTTAAATATTGATTCTGAACACTTTAACCACAAACTTCAGAATTTACTGTATAGCTTAGATCGAAATTTGAGAACTTTATGGATTGGTATCGCATTTCGGTGTGCTGACTATTAACTGTTTGTACAATGTAATCTAACTTTACCTAACATCCTTCAGTGAGGTAGGTGTGACAATTATATCGTACGTTAGAAATATAATAAGACGAACTTGATAAACTTACTATGGCATTCTTCTAGTAGCGTCATTTCAGAGAGATTTACTCTGGTGCTTTGATAATTTGTTAAATTAACCTGTGAATGGAATTTTTAAGAAAAGTGACATTAGGTACCATTCGGCAGTATGCAGGATCTCAAAACAACTTTTCTACTTGAGAGGTAAAACTTGATTTAAAATAACGTACGTAACAAGTGTCTATAAACTTCGTAGCTAGTCTTCACCATCTTGGTATAAAGTGAGGTAGTACAGCGGTACATCTTACCACAATACACTTTTTCATTAAAATGGGTCAACAATAGCTTGAGACAAAAGTAATACATGCCTACATTTTCGCGTTTTATTTAACTCTCTGTTTCAATGACAGTTACTGGACATTAGGGATCAAGGCTTCTGTCTGAGTCTTAATAAAAAAACACTAAACTTTCAAGTGGCATCATCACAAAGGAAAACTTCAAGATGAGACTTTCGGATGGTGCTGCTGAAGTTCTGTCTTTTAATGGGCAGTCAAGTATTCCTGAGAAGAATTAACTTCATTAGTAAAGGGAAATAGTGTCTGCATTACCCCGGATACCAAACTCGACTGCACACATAAGTCACATTAATTACCATTTAAGGGGGCTTCTGGAGTGTCAAATGCGTAAAGCACTAGAATGCCACTCTCAAGTAGAATACGAAGAAGCGTAAGTAATGATTATATAAAATCCATTCATTGACACTAATTAAATTTTCTGAGGCCTGTATTGAGTTAGACTCTAGGATAATCATATTCACTTTATAAATATTTCGACTACTTAATTTTGAGAAATCAACAAAGTTTATAAATATATATACATAGGTATAGGAACAGAAAATCAGAGGACTTGCCTGATTTTTTTAAACACTACTTATTTGGTTCCAAAAGTTTTTGTTGAACTGAATTTGCGTATTGACATTTGCTGGTTCAAAAGTTTACACTCGCATATATTTCAAGGATTGTAACAAGCAGTCTCTTCAATAAACCATACAACGACCTTCCACAGCAAATCTTTCAGCGACCTGACCACATACAGTTGTCATGATTATTTATATGAAAAACAATAATAATAATAACTTAGTCAATTAGGAAGAAAAAGTCAAATAAGTAGGTGAATTTGGTCCATAGGTTAGTAAAGCAGCACATTAATCTTTGATCTGAAACCTAAGTTATCAAGGAATGTTTAGTGTTATGACTAAATATAGTAAACGCATAATCGTAGACTAGGTACTCTAATGGGCAGTACTTAGAAAAACTTTAAAATACCACTAGAAGGTTTCATAGTGGGTTTATGTACGAAAACATTACAATTTCACCTTCTGTTTCAGTAATATGTTTAAACATCAAGAGATTCAAAAGTTAAACTGACGTCCAAAGCCACTTAGAATGCGCTTGGTGGCCGTCGATTTCACGGAGAAAAAGTGCCTTTAACCATGTATGTTTGACCATATGCACATCAAAATTGGTAAGAGCGGTGGTAGCTAACATCACTATTTGACTTTTTCAATAGTTTAGATAAGAACAAAAGCTTTTTCTACCTTTGGGCACTGAATGAAGTGCCACACCTTGAACTGCTTCACTTTTGTGCAAAGTTGAAAATCCATTTCATTTCAGTTTACATAAGCTATAGAGTTTTCCACTAGCCTGAGCTTAACTAAAAATTGTTGGTGCCAAGTTAAGAATCCAGACAGTTGATTTTAAAAACTTTATCACGTTTCCAAAACCAGTTTATGCTGTATGAAACGGCGGAAATTTTAAATGCATTTCACTGCGAAACAATATATATTCACCAAGCTGTCATATACTGACGATGGTGTAGCACCCCTATTATTCGGTGAGTTGTTGAAAAAGACAGCTTTAGAAGTGTGCACCTCTTTCGGTAGTGATAATGGACGGAAGACCAAAGCTTGCTATTCAGCTCTTGACCAGAGCTTTGGCAACAATTGTTGCGACACTTCTGCCAGTGGAACTGGCACAGTAAAAGTAATAGTACTGACGGATCCCGACTCACAATTACCAGAGTAAGCGTAAGACATGTTACAACTCATGAAAAGGGTGTTTGAAAATAACAAAATGGCAAAATTCATATAAATGAATATATCGAAAGACAAAACGAGTAGCTATGATGCTAACCACGAAGAAATGAAGGTTACTCCTTGATAAAGCACAGAAAATGAGTTCAGAATGTGTATTACGAATAGATCCAAAAAAGTAGAATGATAATAATCCGGTAAGTGTTCCGATACGTCGGGTTCATCAATTTATGGCGTACTGTTAGGCTTAATATACGGGTGCTACAATGGACTCAGTTATAGGTTTCAAGGAATAGGTATGCAATTAAGATGGGGAGATCTTAGGATAATGAGACAAAAGACACAGAATTCGGTATAGTTCTGATAAATACTGACATGTCCCAGCTAGAATTTTCTCCAGGAGCACTACAGAACGTGGGACAATGACCTGAAGCCTGTCTCAAACATTTTGGAGTGCGCTCAAAGTCAATGCTAGCTGGGGTCTACCGGAATTTCACATTCCCCGAAAATATTTTCGTTTTGGTAAACAGATAAAGCTTTCTATCTTTAAGTTACTACTTTCATCCCACTAATAAATGAATTCCTATTTTAACAAGATGATTGACTGGAATGTTCAAAACGCATTCTGCAAATGTGTTACACTACATATGTAGTGTAATATTACGTACCATTTACATAAGTTTGATTAAGGCAGTATCATTACAAAGAACGAAAACTACTACTCGTTAATAATTTACTCATGAAGGTCAAATTGAGTTTGACAAGTATCATAAGCTGATGATTTTGCCAAATGCCATGGTATTGTCCTGATAAGTACTGAGATGTACATCTAGAATCCACTTAAATTGTATAGTAGTCACAGTAATACTATACTATATACTATTTACCACTGTCATTCATTTTCTACGCAATCTACTACTATGTAAAAATAAAATGAAAAACTGTTAGTGCCTTAATAATTAATCCAAATAAAGTTTTTGGTGTTATTGCGTTCTCTCAGCTAAGTGTAGAAAATGTGACACATAAATAGAAATGAAATTCCATTGTCACTCCAGAGGAATCAGTTCTAACTACTATTTGAAATAAAACTGCTTTTCCTCTACATTAATCTGTTGTTCGTCCCAATTACTATTTGTTCGGTTCAGTCATATGTCTCTATTTCGGAACTGTAGAATCTGCCACTAAGAGATATAAACACACTGCTCCAGGTATTTTCAACTTAGATAATTTGTTTTTTTTATTTTAAAACTAACAACTCACTAAATCTAGCCTACTGCAAGGTCACCAGTGGTGTTGAATCAGCTTCAAGGTTGAATTGTGAAGAGGGTAACTTTCATCACTACACTTAAACTTTAGTCTGATTGAAGCAGACGAACTTATGTTTGCGAATACCGCTATGATTCTTATTAGAATCTGTTTTGGTAGAAACCTGTTTACTTCTTAAGTGTTGAAATGTACACATTAGTCTTGCCAGTATTTTAATCAAGATGCTCGAATGAACAATCAACCTAGCTATAATGATATATTTAGAAAAGAACAACTTGTTATCCAGAGCTTGCTACGGCTTCGGAATAAGTCTCTCATGCTTCAGAAACCTTTGCACAGCAGTAGGAAGCCCAGTCAAGCCAAAGAGTAACATTAGGCTCATTGACGTCGATTTCATGGACCTAAGTAAAGTTTTTGACGAAGCAGCTAACCCAAGACTGTTCACCAAATAGGAAAATCTTTGATCCAAGTGCATTTCGCTAAGCTAGAGTAATAAATCCCTCGAGGGCAGGAGATACAGAATAATGTCCAGATCAAAACTGTCCTTCTGGAGAGCTGTACATATTGTTCCTTAGCACCACACTCGGAGAACTTCAATTGGTTCTGTATATCAACTAATTACCTGGGCTCACCAAATCTCCACTGAAACTGTATACAGATAAGTTAAAAATTTAAAAGGAACCGGAAGGTGGTGATGACATACTGACGCTATAAAAAGACTTCAATAAACTGTAGTAACAGTAGTAACAGTCTTAACACACCTCATACTACAAACCACATATAATTAATCCCTGCACTACTCCTTTGGAGTCAACCGAAGCTACGAAAGTCGAGTGGTGGGACGAGCTACGCAGACGTTTACCGAAGATCAGGAACCTCTACCTCACAATCAAGAGGCGAGCACAAAGAAATCAAATTGGTTTATACTAGCTCGTAAAAGCGATATTGGATATTGGTTGGTATAAAATATGGATGTGCCCGACCAGTGTAATGAAGTGTGCAGACAAGCACATTGGACATGCAAGCGTCACTTCATACAAACTAGAGGGAATAATACTCCCACCATATGGATTAAGGTGTCATGGTAACTTATGTCCCAAAATCCACGGCAATTGTTGCTTAATGGCAGCTAGAATATTCAGATCATTGTGGGCAAACACAGAGCGTTTATCAGAACTTCCGGTGACATATTCACTTCCTTATATGAACCTCTGGTGAGGTCCTAAAGCCTATACAGCACCGCTATCACTCAGAGGCGTCGATGATTAAGGAAGATATAAGGATGGAACACGCAGCCAAGTAGGAACTAGATCTACCTTGTGATTTGTGTAGCTCTTTTCCCCATTGAATGATGAATTCCCATCTGTTTATATGAGTAGACTACCCTACCTTAATTTGTCCAAGATTGGTGCGCTAATAAATAGTGCGTTCAAAACTAACTGCTGTCGTTAACCACTATACGCGATATCGCTCGCTAATTTCGCATTCATTTTAATATTATAGGGATTTACCAATTTGGTAAGCCTGAGTACCTTACAATAAGCCGTTTATTTTAGTGTAGTTCACTGTAACTTATATTTTAAGGTTCTGTCTATTTATATTTTAACATATTTGATTGATTATTTTTTACGTATATTTTATTTGCTTTTATCCTTCATTATTTTTGGTTTATTGATCATGGAGTATGACTCCAAAAACTTTATTTCTGCGGAGATAT